GCAGGACGTGTTCCCATCGGCTTACGGGTGTTGTGTTGCTCAGACGGCACAGCTGCGTCCTGCCACTAAAACAGGGCTAAATCTCCCCATTTCGGGCTGCCCTGTGGAAAGGAGCCCCCGGGGGAGGGGGTGTCCCAGCCCCTCACCGCAGAAGAGGTGCCCACGGGGTGAAGGGGGTTTTTGCGTGGCGCAGACGGGAAGGAGGACCTGGCCATGAGCCTCCAAGGGCTGGGAAAGGTCGTGTCACTCGCCTGTGAAGTTACCGGCCAGTTCACTGCCTGCGCGCTTCGCACGTTTGGGCAAACACCGGTTGTGCAGAGCTGGGTCAGAGAGTTGGTGGAAGCTGAGTGGGTTTGGGAACAGGGGCGAGCGGGGCGGGCTCTGGCTGAGCAGAGAGCCTCAGGTGCAGCAGTGGGGAGGCAGAAGGAGGGACCAGAGAGGAGCCACCTTGTCCAGCCGGAGGGAGCTTGCTCCCTGGCTGGTGGAAGGCAATGGGATGTGTTTGTCAGTGGCCCTGGTGCTGTGGGTGGCTCCTGACATCACTTATGGCCTCGCTCTTCTAGAGAGGGCACTGTGATGGAGGTAACCTTCAGGCTCTGAAGCCATCAGGAGAGGGAGCAGAGAAGTGTAGATATGATGACTTCACCAGGAAGAAAGCTTGGAAAACAGCTCTGTTTTCCATGGCTCATGGTGAATTTGTGCCATTCCCTAGAAGGAGTAATGAAAACCTGCTCTGAGCTTGTGTGGAGATGTGGCCAAAGCAGCAACGCGTGCTGAGCACGCACGGGGCTTGCTGCTGCGGGCTTCAGACCTCATCTCATGGCCCCGTCTGCGGGCACTCGGTCGGGGGAGAGAGAGCAGGTCGAGGCTGGTGGGTGCACTCCTGCGGGTCTGAAGGGCTGTGGGGAGCAGAGAGGGGCTGTTAAGGGAGACCTCCCTGCAGTGAACCGCTGATGGGTCACTCTTGCCATCAGCACGTTCAGCGTGTTTACCGTTGTTCTTCGGTGTAGGCTCAGAGGCAGCTCATTTTTACTGAAGCAGCATCACGTGGGGACCAAACTACCCTGGACCCGACGCTGTATTTTGACACCAACCTGTGTCACTTCTGTATTGGCAGAAAATACCTGTGCTGCACAGCAATCGCAGCCCACCACGCGGTCGAGCCGAGAGCTCCCCGCGGCGGGTGGCACGACCCCACCGCCCACCAGAGCATCATCCCCTCTCTCCTGGGGCCAGCAAGTCGCCTAAGCGGTCTGTGGGTCATGCGGGACGGGGGGAGATGTGGTGAAGCTGGGGACGTGGCGGTGGGGGTAAAGGCAGCCCCTGGGTCAGCGCCGGGGACCAGAATGGGCGAAGGTTGCAGCGAGCATCTTCTGCTGCAGCCTGGCAGCCCTCCCCTCCTCTTGCCGCAGGAAACCTGCTCTTTCTCCCACCGTGCTGTGTTGAGTGTGCGTATACTTGTGTAGGAGAGAGGGAAAAGGAGAGAAGGAGGAAAGACAGGAGAAGAGCGGGAAACTGTCATTTGTGGAAGATTTCCTCATAAATCATCAACAGTGTTGGTATTTGCATGGTGGTGGAGCCGGGTGCCCTGCCCAGGGTCAGAGCCCCATGGTGCCAGGCTCTGTCCTGAAGAGCTTGCAGCTGAAGTATGAAACAGGAGGTGACATGTGAAGAGAACAAACAGATGGGGAGAGCAGGAGCTGGTGAGGAGATAAATAGCAATAACTCTTTGAGTTTTTTCTGTGCCTTTGTCTGGAGGGTTTCAAAGCCATCTGAAACTGATACAAGCATCCCTCTCCTTGGGTTAAAGTACAGACAACTGTCTGGGACCAAGACCATGTTGTCCCGGAGAGCCTGGAAGGGTACCCGCTATCTGGAAGATGAGCTGGTTCATCTCCTGCCGGAAGAGACCCTGACTGAGCAGCCCTCTCCTCGTTTTCTTGCCCTGAGTGCTGTAGGACCGTGGAGGCAAGGGCCAGCCCCACCAGACTCCTCTCCATCCCTCCTCCCTGTCTTGCTCTTGCAGCACTGTCTGCCCGAGAAAATCCCACCAGCTCAGCAGTCCTGGGCTGCAGCATGAAAAGGGTGCATGAAAGATGGGTGCACTCATTTATTTAATAATTCGCCCACCCATATGGCCCTTCCTCAAAGAGGGTGGCCAGCATTGCGCTCACTCAGGCAGTCACTGGAGCACAGCAGGCACTGAAGAGCTCCTGTCCCCGCAATGGTAACTGTGGTCTCAAACCAAATGATCTTTTGTTTTGTCTTTTTCTCTTTAACTTAGGGAGCGAGTTTTCTGGGAGCCCATACAGCCACCCACAATATTCGACGTACAATGACTCCTGGAGGTTTCCCAACCCTGGACTACTGGGTAAGTTGCCGTGCTCGCCTTGCGGGCTCAATGCAAGATGTGTCCCCTTTGCAACCCAATGGCGATTGCCCCTGCTAGGGGGACTTCTCAAACAAGAAGCCCAAACCTCTTGTCTTCCCCTTTCTGACCGCGTAAAGTCCTTGCAGATGCACAAAATGTTGCCGGAAGGCAGGATCCCCATTGTTTTTGAGGGTGAAGAATCCATTTCAGACAAAACTTGGGGTGCTTTATGGGGAGTGCCGACTTCAGGGAGTCGCTGGTTGATCATGGCCAAGCACCAGCCCCATTGCTCCCCATGCTGTTGTTTCTCACTCGTTCAAGCACTTTGTTTTCCTCCCCGACCTCGCGTTGCGTTTCCTCCCCAGTTGTGTGTGTGTGCCCGATCCATCCCTCCTCTGCACGGGACCGCTGTGCCCGCGCAGCCTCGCTGGTTCCGGCACAGTCCCTGCGAGCGGTGGGGAACAGGAGCCCTGTGGCTCATGCAGGATCATGGCCCTCATGTGAAGGATAAACATAATCCATTTTACACCATTGTCAAAAGCTGGCCCACTTTGACCTTATATACATGTAGCATGCAGTAATTAGAATTTTTCCTTGCATAATTTACATGGATGAGGTAAGTAAAATACCAATTAATTGTCATCTCTCAACACAGGAGTAGCATGCCTTAGAGATTTCCAGATTTATGGATGACAGGGCTGTTATATGTGACCTCCAGCAGCGAAATAATTTTGAATTTTTGTCATACTTTTTTTATCAGGTTTCTTTGTTTTAAGTAATTGAGTCCCCATGTAATTGAGCCACCCAGGCTGTATTCATCATGGTTCTTGTCCTTAAACAAATCCTTGGGGAGCAATAGACAGCCTCTGCCTCCCGTGCCATGGTGCTGGTATAATGCTGCTATTTGCCGTGCCACATTTAAGGGTTTGTTAGCGCTTCCATCATAAATCAGCGGGCAGATCTCCAGCTAATATCGATGGGCATAGCTGCACAAAGCCAGGGGAGCCCCTGCACGGAGACCCGCAGTTTCCATGGCCACAGCCGGCAGCGCCTGTGGGATTTTGGCTTGGCCACATGGGGAAGATGCTTTAGCCAGGGGGAAGAGCGCGCACCGCGCTTTCTTCGTTTCTCGTGTTGCAGCTCCTTTGGAGGCAGGAGAGCTGCTTTAGCAAAGCTCTGCTGCGTGGACAGGACTGGGAAGCCAGGGTTTTGGGTGGCTTTTTAAATTTTGCTTGCAAACCAGTAAAGAAACTGGCATGATATGAAAAATAAATGGAAACGTATCCCCAGCCTTGCCTTTCCTCATGGAGAGAGGTCTTTTGGCCAGGCCCCCGGACTGCACACCGTGCTCCCACCTGTGGGTGCACTGGAGCCATCCCGGAGCCCTCCTGGAGCCCCCCCGGAGCCCCTCGCCGCCCTGCAGCAGGGGGCCACTCGTGGCCCTTCAACTCCGGCAGCAGCAGGTTGTGCCCACGACCTGTTCGGCTCCTCGTTTGGGGTGATGGCCTCGCATATGCTGTGAGCGTGCTGGCCAGGGCACCGGACAGGGGACATCCCCGTGCTGCCCTGAAGCTGGTGGAGATGGGCAGGTCTGGGTCAGGAGAAGACTTTGAAGCAGAGGCTGGTCGGGAGCCAGGATACCTTTTGCCTGTGCCATTCCCTTTTTTCCTTTTTCTCGCTTCCTTTTTGAATGATACATTTTGGGGGCAAGTTCTGCCTTCTCTTCGACGGTGCGGATGCGTGTGGATGAAGGGATGGTGTGTTCCCGCAGCAAGGCGTCGCAGGCTGGCGAGGGTTTCTACAGCAGTATTTACTCAGCAGCATGCTGTGAACGTGTGTTTAAATGAGGGAAGGGCAAAAAGATTTGGATGCTATTTTTTTCCTTCAGAAACCGCAGCTTTATTGAAATTGAAATGTTTCACGGTATAATGACAATACTAGCATTTTTTGCCAGTGGGAGTTGTTAAAATGTATGATCTCACTTCCTTGTTTTTATCCTCTTCGAAATACTTTGTTCCAATATTTTAAAAATCTTATGTTTCGGTAGACACAGAGTCAGTCACTGCACAGATGACGTTACCTTGCTTTGAGTGCGTAATCGCACGCAGGTTTGGAGTTAAGAGACTGGAAGTTTTGGTGCATCAAAAAGAAAAAGAAATGGGAATGTTTGTTCTGCAGCAAGTCCTAAGGGTGAACGTGCTGTTCCAGTTCAGCCTGGTCACAAAACCGGGAGCGCTGGAGTCTCCTGGAGGGGGGCTCCCCATGTCCGACCACTGGTCGTGTGTCCTGCCCCTCCCTGCACTGCTTGAGCTGGGCAGCGAGGTCTCGGTGAGCTGAGCCTTGGGGTTCCCATCACAGCAATCCTCTCTGTCAGAGAAGCACCGAAAGCGAAACGGTGGTCGGTTTGGAAGGGCATTTATTCGAAGTCAGCATCGTGCCACACAGGGCGCTGCGAAGGTCTGTGGCCCAGCTCTTCGGTGGAGAAGCCCACCCCGCTTGCCCGTGGCGCACAGCGCTGGAGGGCAAAGGCAGCGAGAGCACTCCGAGGGACGCTGCAAGGCCCTGGTACAGCTGTAGGACCACAGACGGAACGTCTCCCGGCTCAGCCGTAGGGTTGGACATGTCTCCTGTGCCCCGCAGCGGTGCCGCTTACCAGCAGCTCCGCATCCTCCCTGGGAGCCTGGTCCTGCGCTCCCCCTCCCCAGGCGCCCGCAGCCCCACCGGTCGTTCAGGGCAGGAACCTGCGGCAGAGCCTTAAAATCCTGCTCCGAGTCCCCTTGCGCATCCAGAAGGCTCCGTGTGACGAGCGCGAGCACCCGCAGTGGAGAGGAGGTTAATTTAAGCTGTATCCAGGATGCTTCCACTCTTCTCAGGAGTATATGTGAGAGCGTTCAGCAATTCTCTCCGGAGAGTGAGCTCTGGCAGTATCAGCCTCAAAGCAGAAACCTTGACAAAATTAATCAGGACTGGTACATGGACTGACACAGTTTGTTTTACTAAGTCCCGCTCCCTTCACTGAGATGAAAGTGTAATACTGCAGGCACTTAACAGCACCTACATTCAATTAATTCCCTGTGCTGGCAAGGAAGAATTGCACTGCAGCCATCACACCAGGCTGAAAGAGGAGCTAAAAGGAGAGATGCCGCGATTTGCAAGTGGCAGGAAGAAAGGGTACTTGGGTGAAAGATGGTTTTGGGGGGGAAATAAAGAGAACAGGGGCAGAGAGAGATGAGAATAATGAAACAAGTTTGGTCGTGAGTCTTTGTCCCGGGGTGTGGAGCAGCAGTGAGAGGTGTGCGCCGGTGTCTCCAGGGGAAGGCAGCACCATGCTCTCGGCGTGCAGGCGGTGGGGAGCGTCTGCCTGGCCCCAGAGGAGCACTGTCTGCTCTCCATCGCCCCATGCCTGCTCTGCCCTTGCTCTGCTGCTCCCCACTCCTCCGCATCGCGCAGCCACCTTCCACTGCCAGGCTGGGAACCGATGCAAACAGGTGACCGTGGTCCCTCCTCCCCAAATGCTGTGCCCTGTAGCTCTTGTGGAAGGGGAGACGACCGAGCTGCAGTCCTCCGAGGCGGTCAACAGAAGCATGGGAAGAAGAAGAAAAAATCTGCTCTGCAGCATCTTTCTGCTCTCCTGCCCCATCGCTGGCCCTGGCGGCACCCACACCCAGCTCTGCGGCATGGCACGGCACGGCACGGCACAGCACGGCACAGCACGGCATGGCAGCCTCTGCTGCGTGGGGTGGCTGCG